TCATTACGTGAAGCATAGCGCGGTTAAATACCACGTTATGTATTTTTTTCTTACCTATAAATGACCAGCGCATTTAAGTTATTATCCGCGCTTAACCAAAACAAATAGCAAAACTTTCCATAAATTTATCATTTTTCTTGCATTAACAAATGTTTGGACGTAATGACCAACCAATGTGCTATTGTGGTAAACGTGCGATTATGAAGGTATGTTGGTCCGACGGTAATGTTGGGCGCAGATACTGGATGTGTCTATGCAGGTTTGGAGGAAATGACGGAAATCATTGTATGTTTGAGGAATGGTATGGTGAACCCATTAACCAGGAATACTACAAATCAATTTTGCAGTATGTTGGAATATGAACGCTGAATACCAACTCCAGATCTCTGAAATGCAACAAGAAATTACAGCACTGCAGGAGAAACTAAAAGAGGCGGAAGAAGAAAAAAAAATGAAAGAGAATTTTAAGTAGTTGGAGCAGAGAATAATGGGCGGTAGTGACTAAACAAACACATGTATGTATTGAGTGTGGTATTTTATCTTTATGTTTTCCGTGTCATGTATTTTCATTAGTTGTATCGAATTCAAATTATGTTAGGTTGTTATGTTTGTTTTGCCCAATTTTACTATTAAAATAACAAAGAAACCGAGAAATAAAAACATAATGCGCATATAATGCTAAACCATAGATAAAGTTGCTATTATTTACTGATTGTCAAATGTACATAAAATAAAAAAAAATCAATGTGTCCCACAACCTTTATGCTTTAAAGTGCTGGCCTGAGGCGCATCCCATCCCGCGCAGCTACACTATCAGGATCATCCTCATCACGTCGCCTCTTTATCGGAGGTGCTCTGCATCATGATCGTCAGTAAGGTTGGCAGGCTCGGTAGAAGTGGCCCTCGGTCCAGTAGTAACCTACAGAATAATGCGATATTTTAGTATCTGAAATATATATTAGTAATGTACGTATTAGCTAAAAAAAATTAAAATGTCTTAGATATTTATGACTAATCAATGAGATAAACACAAATATAAATAATAGTAATACAAACTAACCAAATCCTGTGAAAGATCCTCAGCATCCCTCGATGATGAGCCATAACTCAGTCGGCGCCCACTATCTACATCTCGTACCGGACGAGCATCAACAACCGTCGATGCCTCTGGAGGGTTAGGAAAATACGCATCCCAGTCATGTGAGGTAAGGGCCGTCCCCGCGATCAACAATGGAGCTGACGGGATCACCTGTGAAGTCTCTGGAGTAAGCCCGAGGCTAAATGACGGGATATCACTAGGATCAGGGTGGTCACCCGGCTGATCAACTCCAACATCCTCAACAGGTTCCTAAACGTTCCCGTGTTGGGGACCACCTCCTCGCTGACCCCCACAATCTCGTGGGACCCCCTTACCTCGTGGGACACCCCTGCCACGTCGACCACGTTCAGGCTGCACTAGTGGCCCACGATGGTACTGCTCTGGTGCCATATAATCAACCTCGTTACCTAAGCGCTCATCATCCCGGGCTCACTGCAATGTCCGGGCAGCCAAATTCGTAACCTACCGGCCATAGTCGTGCAAACCGACCGCTCCCTCGTCGGTATGCTACTGTATCTGCAGTCCCAACTGGTGGAACTGATGTAGGCCAATAACCTGCACAACATGTAAAATATTAATCACGAAGCGGTAAGGTTAAATTTATAACTAAGTATATCAAAAAACATACCAACGCCTCATGCCTCCCGGTGTATGGAATGAACCGACCGCCAGCGCGATGAACGAGATTACCGACGAAAAGTCGGGTAATGCTGTGATACCAACCGATATACGCATGCTCACCATCCATAAGATGGGCTGGAGGGGGTGGCGGAATCAGGTCATGCCGCTGGTCCCAAGTCTGGATCTGCAACTCTAGCCATGCCTCATATGCCTGGTCAACCCTCGAACGATCATCCCGCTAGTAATGTGTCCTAAGACAAGCGGGCGCTGGAGGTACATGCTGCGGTCGACCAAACTGGCAAAGGACTCGCTCGGTGGCATGATGCTCGACAATATCGAGACACGTCAACGGGACGGAAGAGCTCCAGATAAGTCGCCCGGTCGAGCAATAATCGAGCAAACTAGCTATTAGCTCGTCGTTGTATGGCCTCCAAATGAACTATTACATAAAAACAAGAACCGTGAGTATACGCAACATATATAAATCTAGGGCAATAAAACTTAAGTATAGAATTACCTGTGCAGCCTCCAGCTAATCTAATAAATCCCTCCAATAGAGGAGATTATGTTGAGCCTCGTACTCGCGTCCGTATCCCCGCCTATCAACTCACCTCCTAGCTAAAGGGAGAAACGGTGGAGGTGGTGCATCCTAAGCTTTGGGTGGTAGAGGTGGCTGAAACTGTAGGAACCGCTCCCAGGCCCAAACCTAATATATAATTTGGGCATAAATTTTAAGGTATATTTTTATGATGTATGCTATAATGAAGAGAGTATTTGACTATGTTTTCACCTGCAGCAGCGGCATAAATCCTGCAACATCTCGCTGGGTGCCCATGCATGTTGCCTGTACAAGTAACCAAGCACAGCAGCACCCCAGCTGTACCGATGTAAATCATCTAGCCGCTCAAGATGATGAAGAAATCTCAAGCTGACTAGGTTTCCCAAAGTGTTGGGGAACAATGCACCTCCAAACATAAGCAGCAGCAGCAACCTCGGGTACCGGTTAATATGAAGATCCAGTGTATCATGAGTAATCAGCATGCATGGCCTCCAAATGCAGCCGGACGGGCGTCAACGCAAGACAACTAGCCCCAACCAATGCACCCTCATCCTCTGGCTGGAAATCAGTGAGCCGCTCCAACGTCTCCAGGTATTGATCTCCCGTATAAACTCTCATGGCATGCGGCAAAGCAATAGGAAGTCCATCAACTGGCAGCCCATACAGAACCTCCACGTCCTACAGCGTAATCGTGGCCTCGCCAATGGGCAAATGAAATGTGTGCGTCTCTGGTCGTCACTGCTTTATCAAAGCCGTGATCAACGACCAATCCAGCTGCAGTCGGCCGATCTTAATGATCCTATAAAAACCTGTATCCTGCAGGCGTCTGACTGTACGGGGATGGAGCTGGAGGGTCTTAATAAAGTCCCGCATATCGTCTACTCTCCTAGAACGTAAAATCTGGGCCAATAACTGCCCCTCTCGTATGTAGGAAGACCTATGCTCGACACGTAGCAATAGTAGCTCGAGGGAGGCAGGTCCGGGATGCAAAGGCGGAACCTCCATGACGACTACTGTAAATTGAAAAGAATTAATTACATTATTTTTCTTTTCCATTGCTTAAAAATATTGCAATACTTTGAATATTAAATTTTATTCGATATTTTTACTATATTGTTAATTAGGTTGATACATTTTCAATATTATAATTTATATTTTATATGTTAGTTTTATTATTTTATATGTTTGTTAGTTATTCACCTATTTTTTACTATAATAAATTAAATAATTAATTTTCGTAACTATATATGATTTAATTATTAAATATTCACATTTTTGGTTCCGGACATAATATTTGAGGCCCAATAGCACCAATGTGTCCTGAATTCTTATGTTCATGATGAGAAAAAATTTCTGATTTTTTACTCAACAGGTTTGTTATTTTATATGTTAGTTTATTATGTTAATTTTATTATTTAATATGTTAGTTTTATTATTTTATATGTTTGTTTGTTTGTTACTGACTTATTTTTTACTATACTAAAATTAAATAATTAGTTTTCATAACTATACAAGATTTAATTATTAAATATTCATATTTTGGTTCCGGACACAATATTTGAGGCCCAGTAGCACCAATGTATCCTGAATTTTTATGTTCTTACGTTTGTTGACTATAATTAGAGATAGTTTGTGTTTGAACTATCAGCTTTTTGACTTATTTTTGAGAATAAGAGATACTTAAATGATTAATTTCTATAACTACAAGGATACGACGCTAAAGGGCACTACGTTTTACTACGCTAAAATATCACTACATTACAAATACGAGCACTACATTAGGCCACTAATACCACCACAAGGAACTAAACTAACAATTTATCTAGTTTACTAATCTTTTAGCAAATAAATAATCTAAACCGGATAAAAATAACAAATCAATTTAATCACAAAACAATCACGAAAATACTATACCATAGTAAAAAGTAACTACTTAACATTTTTTTAACAACTAATAACAATTTCTCTATTTTACAATTTTTTTAGCACACTAATACTATAGTCCGGATAAAAAATAACAAATTAGTTAAATCGCAAAATAATCACAAAACAACATAGAACTCATAAAAAACAACTAATATGCATTTTTTATACAAGTTTTAACAAAAACTAAGTCGGAATACCTCGATTTAAGGTTTTTAGAAATTCGAAGATTTTGTGTTTTTGAGCCGAAACAAGCAACAATGTCCGAGATAACGCCTTAGCTAGCACGTGGGACCGAGAATCTTTACTTTTTGTGGGACGGGGGGGCTCCACTCAAGTTTTTTTTGATAAAAATGGAGGGGGGACCGTTTTGATTTTTAAATGGGTGGGGGGGGGGGGGGGGTTCGATGATTCTGTTTTGGGAAGGAAAAAGATGATCTATATTATATATATAGTGTATTTTGATAAGAAGCTATATATATAGCGTCTTAACAAAAGACGCTATAGTTTTCACTTTTTTAAATTCAAATATATCGTCTTTTAAAAGACACTATGCTTAACTTGCCAATCGGCATTAAGGTATAACATCTTTTTTCTTTTAAAAAGAAAGCTATATATCACTACGTTTTTTTTTTCAAATATTTTTGTTTTTTGGGTCCAAAATTACCACATTTTGGTTCGGGCTCGACATAAACAAGGAAAGGGGGGCTCGACATAAACAGGGAAAGGGCAATTCACCTGCCTTACTTACCTTAGAGTCGCCCTTGCAGTTCGTTGAAGGTGTGACAAGAAGTTGAAATGGTGCGAGCGTACAAAGTAAAAGGGGAAAAGAGGAAAAAGAAAGGAGAGAATTATGATAAGGAAGAAATAGAGGAGACTTTGGAAGAGGAGTCAGGAAAAAGAGCGAGAACAGAAGCAGACACAGAGTGATATGATCCTAATGAACTCAAGTGTAATAGCTGTTAGTTTCAGTTGTCCCAGTCGTTAAGTCGTTAGGCTTTCAGTTAGAACTCACGTGACCTGCACGTGCAGAGAAGTGCTGGAAATTTTGAGTTCCGGAAGTTAGTTATAACAAACTTTCCCACCTCTTCCTATATAGTTTGTTTTTCCCCGAAATTGTAATCATCTGAAGATTGGAATAAGAAAACCCTCTCTTCTTTCTCATCTCTCTCTGTTATCAGAACTCCATTAGAGTTCTACTTCGAGCAACTGTTCAAGGACAATTTTTCCTTATTTGTCCTTTAGGTCAGCTCAATTGCTATTTCTTCTGAAATTTGGATCGAATCTTATCATTGGTATCAGAGCTCTCGTTCCTTGTATTTGTGATAATGGGCGATCACAACACTCGAATGCATGAGTTGAGGAAGGAAGTCGATAGCCTCAAGGGCTATATCGAAGCAGTCACATCTTCTGTATCCGAACAATAGAAATCAATGGACAATCGAGTGGCTCAGGCTATGGATGAAATTAAGAAGTTGATCGTGGGGAATTTAACTGCAACTGGAGTTCAAAGCCATGAGGAACCCGTGGAGAATGAAAGGCCAGATATGGGAGGCCATCGCCCTAGAGGTCATCATCATCCTAATCGAGAGTACCACACTAAAATTCCTATTTTCGATGGGGTAGGGTTGAAGGATTGGTTGTACAAATGTGAACAGATCTTTGCTTATGAGGAAATACCTGAGGATTCTAAAGTGCGAGCTGTCTCGTGCAAGTTGGAAGGCAGGGCACTACAATGGCATCAATCGTACATGAAGCACAGGATCACTAGAGACTGGCCACGATGGGGAGAGTATGTAGCTTATTTGTATGCCAGATTTGGATCTGAATTGTTTGACGATCCCATGGGAGATTTCAAAGACTTGAGACAGGTAAGTTCAGTACAAGATTACATTGATCTGTTTGATGAATTGCTTACTAGAGTGGAGTTGTCTGAGGAGTATGTTGTTAGTTGTTTTGTGAGGGGATTGAAACCTGAAATTGGCCTACCTGTTAAAATGCTAGCACCTAGATCATTAGCTAAGGCTATTAGTTTAGCCAAAATTCAGGAACAAACTTTAATAGTCCAAAAACAAGTCTTCATGAACACTTCTATCCCACCCTATTCTACTAAACCCATTCCAAAATTCTCTTCTGTTAAGCCTCAACCTTCACAACCAACCACCTCAATGACTTCCAGATTTAGCCAACCTTACAGTAAACCTTCACACACTCATACCTCATCTACAAAACCTGCCTACAAAAATGCTAAAAGGTTAACCCCAGCTGAAATGGAGGAGAGGAGGAGTCAAGGGCTGTGTTATAACTGTGATGAGAAGTATAGTTTTGGCCACATATGTAAGAATAGGAGACAGTTGTTTTCTATGGAAGTAGATGAGGGAGTAGAAGAAGTGGAGTTGGAACAAGATGTGGTTCTTGATCCTGTAGAACTACTGTCAATGATTGGCCAAGGGTGAGAGACTGATGCTGAGGGATCCATTCTACCCCATGTATCAGTTCATGCCATGAATGGACTCCATGATTTTAGGACCATGAGAGTGACTGTATCAGTCAAAGGCAAGGCTGTGCAAGTTCTGATTGACACTGGGAGCACTCACAATTTCTTGGACCTTAAAACTGCCAAGAAATTAGGGTGTATATTGACAGCCATAGCCCCTTTTGATGTATCTGTTGCTGATGGAAAAAAGGTGCAGAGCAACTATATATGCAAAAAATTAATATGGAAGATGCAGGGTGTCTCTTTTGATTCTGACATGTTAGTGCTACCAATTGGAGGCTGTAGTATGGTGTTAGGAGTCCAATGGTTGATTACATTGGGAGACATTATATGGAATTTCAGAAAACTTAGGATGGAATTCAGTATTATGGGGTATAAGGTGTCCTTAAGGGGAGTGCAACCTCCAGCAACAAAAATGATTCAACAGGCTAGCATGGATAAGTTGTTGGCCAAACCTGCTGAACTGTGCATGATTTCTGTGGGACTCTTCTTTAAGTCTCAACAGAATGAGGTGGAGATCAGCCTGTTATCAATGGAGAACTTACCAAAGGAACCTAATATGAACTGGGAGGTGCAGGCCATATTACAGAAGTACTCCAACACAACTTCCTCCTTCTAGATTGCATGATCACAAAATCACTCTGAAGGAAGGTACTTCCCCTATCAATATTAGGCCTTACAGGTACCCTAATATTCAGAAAAATGAAATTGAGAAGATGGTGAATGAGATGTTAACCTCTGGAGTTATCAGACATAGCACTAGCCCATATTCATCCCCTATTGTGATGGTAAAAAAGAAGGATGGTTCATGGTGTTTGTGTGTGGATTACAGGGAATTGAACAGCTGCACAGTAAGTTCCTAATCCCTGTGATTGTGGAGCTGCTGGATGAATTGTATGGTGCTAAGTATTTTTCTAAGCTGGATTTAAGATCAGGATACCACCAAATAAGAATGTTTGAACCAGATATTCCCAAAACTGCTTTTAGAAACCACCATGGCCATTATGAATTCATGGTCATGCCCTTTGGTTTAACAAATGCTCCCTCTACTTTTCAAAGCCTAATGAATCAGATTTTTCACAACTTCCTTAGGAAGTTCATCCTAGTCTTTTTTGATGACATCCTAATATATAGCCATAGCTGGAATGACCATTTGCTGCATTTGGAAGAGGCTTTTAAGGTGCTTAAGTCTCACACTTTGTTCATAAAACAAAGTAAATGTGCCTTTGGAGTCACACAGATTGACTACTTGGGCCATATCATTTCTGAGCAAGGAGTAGCCATGGATAATCAGAAGATACAAGGGGTGCTAGATTGGCCACTACCTATTTCCATTAAAAGCCTAAGGGGTTTCTTAGGATTGACAGGTTATTACAGGAGATTCATCAGGGATATGGTATCATTGCAAGGCCCTTAACTGACCTACTCAAAAAGGGTAATTTCCAATGGAATCCTGCAGCAACAAATGCCTTTGAAGAACTAAAGAAAGCCACCACTTCAGCACCTGTCTTAGCCCTCCCAGACTTCTCAAAGCAATTCACAGTAGAGACTGATGCTTCTGGTGGAGGAATTGGAGTTGTTTTAGCTCAAGAGAGCAGACCTATTGCTTTCGTTAGCAGAGGATTATCAGACAATAATAGAGCCCTATCAGTGTATGAAAGGGAACTATTGGCCTTGGTTTCTGCTGTACAAAAGTGGAGGCCCTACTTACTAGGAAGACCATTCATCATCAAAACTGATCACCATAACCTTAAGTACTTGTTGCAGCAGATAATTACTACCCCTAGTCAACAAAAGTGGCTAGTCAAGTTACTTGGCTATGATTATTCCATAGCTTACAAAAAAAGGAAGGAGAACATTGTAGCTGATGCATTGTCTAGGAAGGGAGAAGCCATTCAACTCTACAGCATCTCTAATGTCAATTTTGATATTTTGGAGTTAGTCAAAGCTTCATGGAGCAAAGATTCTGCACTTCAACAACTTATCAAGTCTATACAGGAGGGGCAAGCCACCAAACCTTATTACAAATTCCAAAATGGGATATTGAGCAGAAAGAACAAGCTGATGGTTGGTGCTGATAATGCAGTCAGAGCTAAGCTTCTGTCATTTTACCATTATAGTCCTATTGGTGGTCATTCTAGTATTACTGCCACCTTGAAGAGGATCAAACAGGACTTTTATTGGAAGAAATTGAAGCAGGATGTTTATACTCATGTAAGAAGTTGTGATGTTTGTCAGATATGCAAGAATGATACCTTGTACTACTTCGACCTCTACCTATTCCAGATAAGGTGTGGCAAGATATTTCAATGGATTTCATTGAGGGTCTTCCTAAGGCTGCTGGGAAGGAGGTGACTTTTGTAGTAGTGGATCGTTTGAGTAAGGCTGTCTGTTTCATAGCTCTCAAACATCCCTACACTACCTTGGAGGTAGCTCAAGTGTTTATGGATCAAGTATTCAGACTTCATGGAATGCCCAAGTCTATTGTCTCCGATAGAGATGCTGTCTTCACCAGCAAATTCTGGAAGGAATTATTCAGATTGCAGAAAGTTTCACTATTGACCTCAACAGCTTACCACCCTCAAACAGATGGCCAAACAGAAGTCGTCAATAGATGTGTGGAAAGCTACCTTCGATGTATGGCATTTGAGAAACCAAAAGCATGGCCACAGTGGTTGCCTTTAGCAGAGTGGTGGTACAACACCACTTATCATTCCAGCACTAATATGACACCTTATGAGGTAGTTTATGGTCAGAAACCTCCTCCCTTGCTCCCTTATATGAGCTTTGATTCCCAATTGGACATGGTTGATAGAAGTCTTCAAGCCAGAGAAACCACTCTCAGACTATTGAAGTTTTAACTTGAAAGAGCTCAGAATAGAATGAAGTCCAAGCTGATAAAAGAAGGACTGACAGATCATATGCTGTAGGAGATTTGGTGTATGTCAAGCTACAACCCTACAGACAACATTCTCTTAAGCAGCATGGTTTTCAGAAACTTTCCTCCAAATATTTTGGACCCTTCAAGGTTATTGCTAAAGTAGGAGCTGTAGCATATACTTTGGACCTTCCTGTGGGCACAAAGATCCATCCTACATTCCACATTTCACAGCTGAAAAAGAAGATTAGATCTAACCCTGCTTCAGTCACGTTACCTGTGGTACTCTCTGAAGAGGGTCATGTCCTACTAGAACCTGAAGCCATACTTGACAGGCGTTTGATACATAAGCATGGGAAGGGTACAACTCAAGTCTTGGTCAAATGGTTTAATGTTGCACCAGAGGACAGCACCTGGGAAGAATACCATGACCTTAGGAGGAGATTTCCTTTGTTTGATCCTTGAGGACAAGGATATTCTGTAGAGGGGGGTAATTTGATACGATCCTAATGAACTCAAGTGTAATAGCTGTTAGTTTCAGTTGTCCCAGTTGTTAAGTCGTTAGGCTTTCAGTTAGAACTCACGTGACCTGCACGTGCAGAGAAGTGTTGGAAATTTTGAGTTCCGGAAGTTAGTTATAACTAACTTTCCCACCTCTTCCTATATAGTTTGTTTTTCCCCGAAATTGTAATCATCAGAAGATTGGAATAAGAAAACTCTCTCTTCTTTCTCATCTCTCTCTGTTATCAGAACTCCATTAGAGTTCTACTTCGAGCAACTGTTCAAGGACAATTCTTCCTTATTTGTCCTTTAGGTGAGCTCAATTGCTATTTCTTCTGAAATTTGGATCGAGTCTTATCACAGAGGCAGTTGAACGAGTTGTAGATTTACTGGCTGGTATTCCGGTTGTTTCAACTGATCAAAGCACCAAACCTGGTGTTATTTTCATCATCGAAAGAGCTTCTCTGGAAATTGCTAAAATTGGAAAGGTAAGGTCTGTCTTTTGTTTGTTCAATTTTGCTTTTGATTACACAGTCTGCTTTACAAGAAGCTTTATTTGTGTATAAATATAAAGGAAGTAGAAGTTATACATAGTCTGTAATGATATCTTCCTCTTGTTGATGCAGACTTACCAACTTCTCAACTCAGATGAACATTCCAACTTTCTTAAGAAGAATAATCGAAACCCTTCTGATTATCGACCTGATATTGCTCATCAGGTTAGTTGACTTTTGCCTATCTTGTTGCCTATAGTATGAACACTATGATGTTCCTGTAGACTTCAGATTTTAAGTGTGTCATTTGAGACAATTTTTGCATGTGCAACAAGTTGATGTGTCAAAACTTTTGTCTGGTGGAGGTATCGAATCCTGCAAGTGAAAGTATGTCATGAGTAGAGACTTTATCTTATAATGAGTGAACTAAGTTGGTCAATTTGTCTAGCCAAAGCTAAAACAAGCAAGCTAAGATACTATCAACTTTGTATTCAGTTCTGTGTGAGTTTGCTCAGGACCTCAATTAATTGACGTCAAAACATTAAATGATGTTTTCTCATCCAAGTTCAAGTTGAGTCTGAGTAACCTGTGATTATTCAGTGTCCTAATTACTAAAAAAGAATAATGATAGGGAAAGAGATATCTGGTAGTTGGCCATGAAATCTCCAAGTAGTCATTTTAATTGCTCTTTGATCATATATATATTTACTAGTGATTATTCTAAAAAAAAAATCATCTAGACTTATAAGTGATTATACATTCACTTTTTTTTTGGACAAAGGTAACAGTTATGTATTATAAAAAAAAGAAAGAAACCCAGCACAAAGGTTGTGCTGGTAACCATTTACAGATTCCAAAAGAAGCAAAAACCTATCCTTGTTCTTCTTACAAGGATTCTATGATGTTTAAAATTGATTCTTCATCATTCACATAATTTTCTTTACACCAAAAATGAAACAACAAGATACAGTTCATCTTTAACTTCTAAATAGGATTGCTTCTGTCTTCAAAACACATGGCATTCCTTTCCTTCCAAACTATCCACCATATGCACACTAGGATCAAATTCCACCAGGTCTTTTTGCCTTACACTGCCCTCCTGATTATTCCAGCATCTCAGTAAATCTGTTGTGGTTTTTGGCATAGTCCACCTAAGTCCAATCATGTTGAGAAAAAGTTGCCACAACCGGGAAGTAACTCTACAGTGCAGAAACAAAAGGCTATTGCTTTCTGAATCTCTAGAGCACAGATAGCATCTGGAGCTTAGTTGAAATCCTCTTTTCATTAGGTTCTCATGAGTTAGACAGGCTTGCTTAGCAACTAACCATGAAAAGCATACCACTTTGAAAAGAGCCTTGGTTTTCCAAATTTGTTTCCAAGGTCAATTGCTGTCTCCCTGATTGTTTCCCGATAGTAAGGTGTAAGCTGATTTGACTGTGAATGTCTTCTTGCTAGTCCCCTTCCATATCAAAGAGTCTGTTGTATTTGTTGTGCCGTGAAATAACTCCAGATGCCTCAATAGCTCAGCTACTCTGTCAATTTCCCGGTCATTTAGAGACCTTATGGGATTGAAGTTCCACCCCTACTGACCCCACATCTCCCCAATTGTTGCTTCAGAACTGGATAGTAAGTTGTGTAAGTCGGGAAATAAATCTTTGAGAGGACCGTGCCCAAGCCAATTGTCATGGCAGAAAGAAATTCTACTGCCATCACCAATATTGAAGCCACAGTGGGTGATGAATTGGGCCAAAGAGATCTAATAGCTCTCCAATTACTAACTCCAAAAGTAGCTTTCACATTTTTGGTGCACCAATGGGATAACTGGCCATACTTGTAGTTGATCACCTGCATCCATAATGCTTCTTCCTCATAGTTATATCTCCAAAGCCATTTTGAAAGTAGACTTTTGTTCTGCTTCCTCAAATCTTTGATACCCATGCCACCCACTTTCTTGCCGGAGATGAGAATCTTCCAATTTACCAGGTGATAAGTTTTGTTCTCCTTGTTACCTTGCCAAATGAATTTTCTTCTTAGAATGTCAAGTCTCTTTTCCACTTTAGCTGGAATAGGAAACAAGGACATTACATAAGTAGGGATGGAGTCTAACACACTATTTACCAGGACCACTCTTCCCCCAAAAGAAAGGTATTGACTCTTCCATTTTGCTAGCCTATTTTCACTTCTTTCAATCACCCCCGCCATATCTTTTGAGATTTGTTCTTTGCCCCTAAAGCTAACCCCAGGTAAGTTGTTGGTAGGGTTCTAATTTCACACCCTAGTGTGCCTGCCAGCCTTTGTAGTTGATCCACTTCATTAACCGGATATAACATACTCTTCCTCCAATTGACATGTAAGCCTGATATTGCCTCGAAGATTGTTAGAATTAATCTGATGTGCCTTAGTTGGTCAATGTTTGCATCACCTAATATCAAAGAATTATCTGCATATAGAATGTGAGAAATTTCCATGTTGCACTTGTTATTTGAAACTCTGAATCCCCTCAACCATCCATCTTTAACATGCTATTGAGGCCCACATTACTAAAATAAACAGGAAGGGGGATAGGGGATCTCCTTGCCTGAGCCCCCTCTGAGATGGGGAAAAAACCTTCTGGAGATCCATTGATGAGGACTGAAAATATAACTATGTTAATGCAGAAATGAATCCAACTTAGTGTCACGACCCCAAAACCGACACGGTCGTGATGGCACCGATCGGGTCCTGAAAGCTGTCTTAAGAATATCCGAGTCCCTGATCTTCAACTAGTGATACCCTGAACGGAGATCAATCTTGGAGAACACCCTTGCTCCCTGAAGCTGGTCAAATAGATAATCAATACGAGGCAATGTATACTTGTTCTTGATGGTAACCTTGTTCAACCGCCTGTAATCAATGCACATCCTCATAGTGCCATCCTTCTTCTTCACAAATACAACAGGCGTACCCCACGGCGACATACAGGCCGAATGAACCCCGTATCGAGGAGTTCCTGAAGCTGCTCCTTCAACTCCGCCGGTGCCATACAATATGGAGGAATAGAAATGTGCTGAGTGCCCGACACCAAATCAATACCAAAATCAATATCCCTGTCCGGGGGCATGCCCGGCAGGTCTGCAGGAAACACATCTGGAAAGTCCCTCACTACCGAGACTGAATCAATGGTAAGAGTCTCTGCACTAACATCCCTCACGAAGGCTAAGTAAGAGAGACAACCCTTCCCAACCATCCGCTGGGCCATCAAGAATGAAATTACCCTACTGGGAACATAACCAGACGAACCTCGCCACTCTATTCGTGGCACGCCCGGCATAGCCAACGTTATTGTCTTAGCATAACAGTCCAGGATAGCACGACACGAAGATAACCAATCCATGCCCAATATCACATCAAAGTCCACCATACAAAGTAACAGAAGATCCACTCGGGTATCCAACCCCCCTAATAGTCACCACACAACACCGATACACGCGGTCCACAACAACAATATCGCCCACTGGAGTAGATACACGAACAGATGGAACAAGGGGCTCACGGGGCGTATCAAAATAACGAGCAAAATATGATGACACATATGAAAAAGTGGAACCAGGATCAAATAATACAGAGGCATCTCTGTGGCAGACTGAGACAATACCTGTGACCACAGCATCTGAACCAATAACATCTGGCCTGGCTGGGAGGGCATAGAAACGAGCCCGACCGCCACCTGAGCTGCCTCCCCCTCTAGGGCGACCCCTAGCTGACTAACCTCCACCTCGAGCTGACTGAGCGGGTGAGGAAGTAACTGGTGCTGAAGCCGAAGGCTGACTCCTCTGTTGGGATGAACCTCCTGTGAGACGAGGACAGAACCTCTTGATATGACCCAAATCTCCACACTCAAAGCAACCTCTGTCGGCAAATGGCGGCGGAGACTGAAGGGAGCCCAGAGCACCGGGATGCCCACTAAAAGAACCAGGCATAGATGAGCCCTGAATTGATGGTGCCTGAGTCGAACTTTGAGCTGGAAGGGCACTGAGAGATGAGTGACCCTGATGTGAACTGTGAGAACCGCGTCCAGATGATCCACCATGGTGGCCCGAACGGGCTGGATGAGCATGTCTGAATGGACGGCCTCTGCCGTGCTGAAACTGACCTCCCGAAGGAACACCGCCAAAACTACCAGATCCTCGAGGCCTTTTGGCCTCCCTCTCAACTCGCTCCTGGCGATGAACCGACTCTATCTCTCGAGCAATGTCAACCACCTCCTCAAAAGAAGCACCAGACACCCTCTCTCTGGTCATAAGAATCCGTAGCTGATAAGTGAGGCCATCCACGAATCTCCTGATCCTCTCCCTGTCTGTAGGAACCAACCAAACAGCATGACGGGTTACCTCAGAAAACCTCATCTCATATTGCGTCATAGTCATATCATCCTGACGCAACAGCTCGAACTTCCTGCGCAGCTCATCTTTGCAGGACTGCGGCACATGCTTCTCCAGGAAGAGAGCGGAGAACTGCTGCCAGGTAAGGGGCGCTGCACCAACAGGCCTACGCCTCTCATAAGCCTCCCACCAAGTGAAGGCAGCTCCAGAAAACTGAAAGGTAGTAAATGAGGCCCCACTAGTCTCCAGAATACCCGCTATATGTAGAATCCTCTGACACTTGTCCAAGAAACCCTGGGCATCCTCGCCCTCTGCTCCACTAAAAGTCGGAGGCCGAAGCCTACCAAATCTCTCCAATCGGCACTGCTCGTCATCAGGCATAACTGGAACCACATAATCCTGAGCAGGTGCAACCGGCTGGGCTGGTGGTGCCTCCGGTGTCTGAAGTCCCTGCACAACCTGCTCGGGTATACGAGCAGCGGGAGTCTGAGTGCCTCCCCCGGCCTGAGAAGTAGCTGTTGTAGTAAAAATTGCAACCGCCTGAGCAAGGCTAGTTCACACGGTCAAGATCTGAGCTAAGGTCTCCTGAAGACCCGGAATAACAATAGGCACAGCCGGTGCCTGAGCTGGTACTGTTGGAGCATCCTCCGCTGGAGCCTGATCATGAACTGGGGTGGCTGGTGGATCTGCAGGTGCTGCCCTAGCTGCTGTACGGGCTACACCCCTGCCCCTACCACGGCCTCGACCGCGTCCTCGGTCTCTAGTGGCCCCAGCTGGTGGTACTGGTAGTCGTCCGTCCTGACTGGTAGCAAGTTTCCTCACCATCTGTGAGGGAATAGAATAACAAAAGTTTAGTTACCAGAATCAACAAATTCGCACGACAGGAGTTCAAGAATTGTGAAGTTTTTCCTAAAGGTTCTGCAGCCTCTCGAGGATAAGTATAGACGTCTCTGTACCGATCCGCGAGACTCTACTAAACCTGCTCATGACCCGTGAGATCTATGTAACCTAGGCTGAGATCTTGACTGTGTGCACTAGCCTTGCTCAGGCGGTTGCAGTTTCTACTACATCAGCTACTTCTCAGGCCGGGGGAGGCACTCAGACTCCCGTCGTTTGTACACCCGAGCAGGTTTTGCAGGGGCTTCAGACACCGGAGGCACCACCAGCCCAGCCAGTTGACCTGCTCAGGATTATGTGGTTCCAGTTATGCCTGATGACGAGCAGCGCCGATTGGAGAGATTTGGTAGGCTTCAGCCTCCGACTTTTAGTAGAGCAGAGTGCGAGGATGCCCAGGGTTTCTTGGACAAGTGTCAGAGGATTCTACGTACAACGGGTATTCTGGAGACTAATGGGGTCTCATTTACTACCTTTCAGTTTTCTGGAGCTGCCTTCACTTGGTGGGAGGCTTATGAGAGGCGTAGGCCTGTTGGTGCAGCGCCCCTTACCTGGCAGCAGTTCTCCGCTCTCTTCCTGGAGAAGCATGTGCCGCAGTCCCGCAAAGATGAGCTGCGCAGGAAGTTCGAGTTGTTGCATCAGGATGATATGACTATGACGCAATATGAGATGAGGTTTTCTGAGTTAACCCGTCATGCTGTTTGGTTGGTTCCTACAGACAGGGAGAGGATCAGGAGATTCGTGGATGGCCTCACTTATCAGAGCTATGGATTGTGACCAGAGAGAGGGTGTCTGGTGCTTCTTTTGAGGAGGTGGTTGACATTGCTCGAGAGATAGAGTCGGTTCGCCGCCAGGAGCGAGTTGAGAGGGAGGCCAAAAGGCCTCGAGGATCTGGTAGTTTTGGCGGTGTTCCTTCGGGAGGTCAGTTTCAGCACGGCAGAGGCCGTCCATTCAGACATGCTCATCCAGCCCGTTCGGGCCACCGTGGTGGATCATCTAGACGCGGTTCTCACAGTTCACATCAGGGTCACTCATCTCTCAGTGCCCTTCCAGCTCAGAGTTCGACTCAGGCACCATCAATTCAGGGCTCATCTATGCCTGGTTCTTTTAGTGGGCATCCCGGTGCTCTGGGCTCCCTTCAGTCTCCGCCGCCATTTGCCGACAGAGGTTGCTTTGAGTGTGGAGATTTGGGTCATATCAAGAGGTTCTGTCCTCGTCTCACGGGAGGTTCATCCCAACAGAGGAGTCAGCCTTCGGCTTCAGCACCAGTTACTTCCTCACCCGCTCAGTCAGCTCGAGGTGGAGGTTAGTCAGCTAGGGATCGCCCTAGAGGGGGAGGCAGCTCAGGTGGCGGTCAGGCTCGTTTCTATGCCCTCCCAGCCAGGCCAGATGTTATTGGTTCAGATGCTGTGATCACAGGTATTGTCTCAGTCTGCCACAGAGATGCCTCTGTATTATTTGATCCTGGTTCCACTTTTTCATATGTGTCATCATATTTTGCTCGTTATTTTGATACGCCCCGTGAGCCCCTTGTTCCATCTGTTCGTGTATCTACTCCGGTGGGCGATACTGTTGTTGTGGACCGCGTGTATCGGTCTTGTGTAGTGACTATTGGGGGTTTGGATACCCAAGTGGATCTTTTGTTACTTTGTATGGTGGACTTTGATGTGATATTTGGCATGGATTGGTTATCTCTGTGTCGTGCTATCCTGGACTGTCATGCTAAGACAGTGACGTTGGCTATGCCGGAGGTGCCACGGATAGAGTGGCGAGGTTCGTCTGATTATGTTCCCAGTATGGTAATTTCATTCTTGAAGGCCCAGCAGATGGTTGGGAAGGGTTGTCTCTCTTACTTAGCCTTCATGAGGGATGTTAGTGCAGAGACTCCTACCATTGATTCAGTCCAGGTAGTGAGGGACTTTCCAGATGTGTTTCCTGCAGACCTGTCGGGCATGCCCGCGACAGGGATATTGATTTTGGTATTGATTTGGTGCCGGGCACTCAGCCCATTTCTATTCCTCCGTATCGTATAGTACCGGCGGAGTTGAAGAAGCAGCTTCAGGAACTCCTCGATAAGGGGTTGAGTTGAAGGAGTTGAAGGAGCAGCTTCAGGAACTCCTCGATAAGGGGTTCATTCGGCCTAGTGTGTCGCCGTGGGGTGCGCCTGTTCTATTTGTGAAGAAGAAGAAGGATGGAACTATGAGGATGTGCATTGATTACAGGCAGTTGAACAAGGTTGCCATCAAGAACAAGTATCCGTTGCCTCGTATTGATGATTTATTTGACTAGCCTCAGGGAGCGAGGGTGTTCTCCAAGATTGATCTCCGTTCAGGGTATCACCAGTTGAGGATCAGGGACTCGGATATTCTTAAGATAACTTTCAGGGCCCAATAGGTGCCATCACGACCGGGTCGATTTTGGGGTCGTGACACTTAGCCACTTCCTGCCAAAGCCCATCTCTTTTAGAGTTTTGATAAGGAACATCCAATTGACATGATCAAATGCTTTTTCAATATCCTGATTACAAAGAACTCCCGTCTTCTGAGCTCTCAGTCTTGTGTCCACAATTTCATTAGCTATCAATGCAACATCCATGATCTGTCGCCCTTTTATGAATGCCATTTGATGTTTATCCACCAGTTTATCCATTCTGATGGAACTTTCTATTTCTCTTAAGGATACAATATGATTTTGTATTAAACGAGAAAGAGAAATAAAATTAGGAATGAGAACACCCGCGTCTGTTTAGACCATACGTACTCTTACCTTTTCTCTAGATTTTATTTTTCTAGTCCATAAGTACACATCTCATAAATAATACTACGTATATCTTTTTATATTAAAAAAAACAGAATTTCCGGATATGAGATGTGTACAAAAAATTCTACGAAGATTGGTTTTTCATATTTGGACTGAATTTGTTTATGCCTAATAGAGTCAGAGAGGTCTATGAAGCATGGGGTCTCAGGAGAGTTGATAAAGACATCAAGCATATCTAGCTTATGGCGCCTGCTTATATTTTTTGGTGTATTTGGATTGAAAGAAACCGCATATGTTATGATGGTATTCAACTTTTAGGAGCTGCCTAAAAGCTAAATGTTTGGTTAACCTTTTTAGTTGGGTGAATCTTTGCCCTGTAATTTGTCAGCTCGTTACTCTTATGATAGTTTTTGCCGTTTGTAGCTGACATTTTTCCCTCTTTTGTAATATTTGCATCTTCTTCATGCCTTTTAATGACATTTACTTACCTTATTAAAAAAAAAAACAAATTTTACAAAGATGATTTCTTTTATTTACCCAGTCATTTATACAAGTGGGGACATCATGTGTGCTCCAAAAGTAAATGATAAACAACAAAATCATTTTCATTTGCACTATGGATCTCTCTTTTCCTTCCAAAACTCTCCAGTTTCTTCCTCTGGCAATTTTTGTTTATCAGAATGGAATCTCTGCATAGTTACGCAAAACCTTTTCCAGTTCTCCATCTTCTGACAAATGCCATATTCCCAAGCATCATGCATAGCCTTTCCGAAGTCTAACTTGCTGAAAAGGCAAGATCTTTCTTATTCACTCTAGAGTCCACTTATTCAATTCTATAATCTACTTTGCAATTAGGGTAGCATCTTATATATGCCGTCCATCTACAATTGGTATTTGTGTCCAAGAGATCAAAAAGAAAATTCTACTGAAGAGTTTAGAGAGCATAACGGAGTTAGGACCATGGATAAGTGGGTAAACGTGTGTTTCGCGTAGGTGCCCAACCAACACTTAACAATTAAATTTCAGCCACTGTTAAGTGTTAAAAGGAAGGGAAAAAAATATGAACTCGGATGCCTTCTCAACCCACCACCCCCCGTTTTTGTGCAACTCAGTCTCTTATTCTTTATACTGATTGTTTGATTTATACATTTGAAAATATCAACTGTCGGATGTTGTCTTGTCTGTAAGCTTTATTTCTTTCTAAAGCCTCTCCGTTACCTTACATAGAAAGATGCAGTTATGGATTGGTTTGGCTGTGAATTTCCCTTCCATTTTTGCTCGGTGTTAGTTCTTTAGGGTGAGTTCGTCAGTTGATCTTGCTTCTATTCTACTTCTTTCTGGTTCAGATTCTGACTGTTTATTGTAACTGGGAGCATAGATGGAATTGCAGTTATTTCCTCTTTAACCTTCTACTGATCCACTTTCTGTTAGATCCTTCTAGCGGAAGGGAGAAAGCAGGAAGAAGATCCAGGAAGAAGATCGGATGTAGCTGTATTTTCTTGATCCCACCTCGGGACTTGTAGGATCTAAACATTTTAATTGATGCCCAAGCATCCTTTGTGAAAGTGCTTTCTTGCCCTGTCCTCCCTCCTTTTGGGACAGTAGTCACTGCTTCCATCTGTTTTCAGTCCGTAGTACGTAAGCAAAATACGTTCTAGTTCCAGAGCTAATGAAAGAAAGGAATTGGTGTTCACAAACTTCATTTGCTATTAATTATCGCAAAAAGTTCATGATTGTTTTATGAGGCAATGCAATTAGTTAAAAATCCTAGTTGTCTTTTTCCGAAAAATTTATATAAGTTCTTTCCTTTCACAGGCAATGCTTTCAATTTTAGATAGCCGGGTGAATAAAGCTGGGAGATTAAAAGCTTTGTATGTGAAGACTGAGAAAGGCGTCCTATTTGAAGTAAAACCTCATGTTCGTATCCCTAGGACGTTTAAACGATTTGCTGGCATTATGTGTAAGTTAAATTATCTTGAGCAAAATTTCTTCATCCATCTCTTTTCATGCTTATTACCATCTCTGATTTGTCTAATTTTGCTGTTTTCTGATGTTGCTTCAAATTCAGTGCAGCTGCTAGAAAAGCTGAGCATAACTGCTGTCGGTAAGCGAGAGAAACTGTTACGTGTTAGAGAAAACCCTGTTTCGCGGTACCTACCCATCGACTGTCGGAAGATAGGTGAATTATTTATCTATTTTAGTTCCTTTTCTAATGCAATGTTCTTGACAATTGACTAATACCCCACTTCTCTTATGCATCAGGCTTCTCTCATAGTTCTGAGAAGCTGGTGGATATTCAGGAATATGTTAATGGCATCAACAAGGACATGAACCTTGTTTTTGTGGTATGTTCTAGTGTAATTTTCTATAGACAACTTCCTTTTGGGTGAAGTTATAGTTTTCTGGATATTTGACATATGCAGGTTGGGGCAATGGCCCACGGGAAAATTGATAAAGATTATGTCGAAGATTATCTATCGAGTAAGCTAATATTCCTCTTTTCTTGTAATTTTTTGTCCAATAACAATTAGAGTGCTATTGTGTATTTTTCTGCCTTTGTCTTGATTTGCATAGCTAGTGTTTAACGTGGAGGAATGCGAACATCTGTTACTTGTGTCTGTATGCTCAATTGATGACACTAGGGTACTATTGATCTTCCTTGAGAGTAGAATTACTTCTTGAGAGCCACTTATTACTTGGCAAATGAAAATTAAATTGGCTGCGGCTGCTGTAGAATGTAGATATGGTTGGAATGTCACATAATCTTTGATTTTGTGATATTCTAGTATATTCCATACAAAATGTATTGTAAAGTGAGAGATTGTTCTCTCCCTATGAGTTGGTTGGTTCAGTGTCACATGTCAACTCTGAAGCAATACAGGCTCTAAACTGCAACCTACTTGACCATCCTCAGAATATGAGAGCTCATTATACATATAAGTAACGAGTTATAGTCTAGGCTCCTTCATTTCTACCTACCCTCTGGAAGTGACGTATGTATGCATGTTCTATGTAAATGCTAAACTAGGTCCATACTGTTTCTATGGGAAAATTATCATCGTCGCAAATTATTGTATTTTTTCTGCAGCTGAACCTCGTCTTTAATTTATCTTGCAGTTTCTGATTATCCATTGAGTGCTGCATACTGCATATCCATGATCACAAATGCTGTGGAGCGCAAATGGAAGATTTTGTAGACTTGTACCTTACTCTGGTCTTTGTTGCAACATGTACTTGAATGTTTTGTTTGTTTTTTTCCTATAGGTTTTTCTGGTTGGTTAATCTATTATTATGTAAAATATTTAAGAAGTGTTTAATGGTTCTCTTCTACATTTTGGAATGCCCTTTGCTCGTTTACAATTAATTTGAAGCGACCATCTTCTTCTCATTGTCATTCTGGTATTGGAACTTTTTTGTATAAGTTTTTGTGTTTGTTTTTGGGGTGACAATCAAGGAATCTCAGAAATTTGCAAATTTAGAAATTCTAACACCTTCCAATATCTTTTTTAACCTAGCAGTATAGTTTAACTGGTTATAGTAAGTCATTTGCCATATTTTCGAGGTTATCATTCAATGTTTAGTTAACCTACGTAGTAAGTTTAAGTGAGTTTGAATGTAGTAAGTTTAAGTGAGTTTGAATTTAGGGATGGCAATGGGGCTGAGTGGGTTAGAGCATTTGCGGGTGCAGTTTGCCGGTGCAGGACGGGTAGATATTTTGCGATTTTACGCAGCTTTGCTCTGCTACTCCACAACTTGCTATCCCTAAGTTTTTCTTATTTAGACTCGCAATTGGGGATCAATAAGTCGAAACATATATCAATCGGATTAATTTATCCAAAAAATCCATGTTATGGTATGCACTAGGCGGCCTATGCCATTACTTATTTCCATCCTTTTTTTCAGCCGAGGGCAGGGGTAAGGTTATGTCCTTCTTATCCTCCCCAAACCTCACTTGTAAAAAGTCATTGGGTTTGTTGTTGTTGTTGTCACCCCTTCAATCCAATGGGCATATCTAATTTTACAGTGGAGAGAGCTGTAAATCAATTTGATCCATTTGCAGCCAGTGGAATAAAGGTAGCATGTAAGTACACTACGAGACCTTAGTGTTGGTAAAATAGTAAGGACACATTTTAATACTAAAAATGCGTCTAACTCGGCACTTTTAAGTGTAACGTGGTTTTTATAGCCTTCACAAGTATACAACACTTTTCTTTTGGGAAAATGCATAAGTACCCCCTGACCTATACCCGGATTCCCAACTACACACTTTTTCTTTGCGGGAATTCTATTACCCCCTAAACTTATTTTAAATGTAATTATTTGCACCCTTAACGCTGACAACCAAACTTTTGGCAAGTGGTGAGCTAAACACGCGCCCACATGTATTTTTAGTACTTTTTTTATTCTTTCTTCTTTTTCTTATCCTTTTTTCTTATTTCTTATTATTCTCATTTATTTTGGTTATTTCATTCTCTTTCTTTTTATTTTGGTCACCAGTGGCATAAAATGGTGGGTCGTTGGAATTTCACAAACACCATTTTTTTTGGCGAATTTTTTTTTCCGGCGACAGATTTTTATCCCGATCTAAGTGTGTTTTGTTTAATATATATATATAAATTTTTCTTGAAAGTGTAATTTATGTGTGGGAGGAAGAGCAAAAGAAATAAAAACGAATATAAGCTGAGAAAACTTTTTCCAGGTAAAATTTCAATACATCATTTTTCCCCGGTGTGGGAAGGTTTTTCGATGATGAATTTTTTCCCCAAAATCTGAGTGTATTTTGTTTTGCTTATGAATAGATCTTTTTGAGAGTTTAATTTGTGTGTGAAAAGAAAAAATGAAAAAAAACGGTTAGACAAAGTCGCCGGTGAATGAATATCCGCCGGAATTAGAGAAGAAACGAAAAAAAAAAATAAAAGAAAAAAGACAAAGAAAAAGGAAAAGGAAAAAAAAGTAAGAAAAAATGGTAAAAAATAATAAAAAATAATCTGAAAATCGTTTTTTCTTGCTTCTCACTCTCCTTTGGGAGAGTGAAATATACACACTCTGCCACGTCAGCCTTAAAGGTGCAAATAATTCCATTTAAAATAAGTTTAGGAGGGTAATAGGATTTCCGCAAAGAAAAAGTGTGTAGTTGGAAATCTGGGTATAGGTCAGGGGGGTACTTATGAATTTTCCCCTTTTCTTTTAATAATAATACAAGTGAAGTTTACAAAATTGAGCAATAACCTGAAATTGGAACAAAAAGCTAGTTTTTTCTGCAATGCTGTGCAGAGAAATAGGGGAACCACCAATCTCCAGCCCAAGTAATAGCATTTCAATGTACGTTCCCCTCTCTTTTCCTCCCTATATGACATGAGTTATCTCTGCTCATTGTCTCAATCAAGGACCTGTAAGTAGGCCAGGATTCGTGGACCACGATCTGCCATCATTGTGAGGCATTTCCTCTGGAATGTCCACACTAGCAACAATGTTGGCTGTTTGACTAGACGATGATGGCTCTACGTTAGACATTTCTATTCTGGATTGATGACCACCTTTCGTGCTCAGGGAAGTTTCAGGTGAGTCCCCTGGACTTCCTAATTTTCGTGTTTGTACTTGTCCAAGCTTTGTAGGTTTCTTCTTTTTTGCATTTTTATGCCAATTCATCAGTGCTTTGGAAGTTTGATCATCAAATATAGATCTTCTCATAGTTGATCCCATCTGAAAATTCCAAAAAAAAAAAAAAAAAAAGAGAAAGAAAATGAAGCATAACATGTTTTTGAGTTTATTTTGTAATAAAAAGTAACTTTTAGTTACCTGGGTAACTAGTGCATACAGCGGAAGTGTAATGTAACTGCACAAAATTTGAACACCTAACCTGACAGGCAACTCTTTTATCAGCTAGAGTAAGAGTGTATGGTAAAGGAACTTCAACTAATTGGTTGCTTTTGGAACTTAACACAATGAAGATAAGTACTTGTTCATTACCCTATAGCAACTAGCAATGAGGCAAGATAAAAATTATCGTGAAAGCATGAATGAAGCCCGAAGTCATACTGCAGAAAATGGAATATCATCATGTTACACCACAAATGACAAGAAAAAAAAATGGAAATGAATTATTTTTTCCAAGGAAAGTGTCCTTACCGATATCCAAAGGAAATGTGGGACCTATTCAAATAAAAAAAAAAAAGGCAAAGCAAAAGTTGGCAACAAGTTGCAATGCAACAAGTTGTAATGCAACAAGTTGATATGGACGGCAATTCTGCAAATTGCATCAAATGCATTTGATTGGCTAAATTGGACGGCTCCTTTGCTATAAATAGAGTCATTCTGTTTCGTTTCAAATACACCAAATCGAGAGAAGCAACAGAGAGTTAGAGAGAGCAATCCACAGATTGTAGTATGTGAGATAAATAGTGAGTGAGAGTAATATTGTAGTGAGGTGTTTAAAATAAAGAGTGTTATTTCTTTCGAAGTTGTAGTAGTCTCTTGGCGCTACTAAGTTGTAATATTATAGTGGTAATATTGCTCCGCTGGGGTATTGTATTTTATCCCGTTAAAATATTTGGTGTCGTTGTTACTCTCTTGTGTTATTGTTATTTACCGTGGATATTATTCCTGGGCGGGATTATTATTTTTTATCCCAACAAGGTGGTATGAGAGCCATGGCGAATAATAGTCCGCTGTCTTTTCAGTACCCCCGTCTCACAAAAGATAATTACGAAAAATGGTGTCTACGTATGAAAGTCATTCTTGGCTCTCAGGATGTGTGGGAAATCGTAGACAGAGGGTATGCAAAACCCGATAATGAGGAAGCTCTGCCTCAAAATGAAAAAGATGTCTTGACAAAGACAAGGAAGAAGGATCAACAAGCCCTCACGCTCATCCACAAATGTTTGGATGATGCCATGTTTGAGAAGGTGGCAGATGCTACCACCTCAAAGGAAGCTTGGTAAATTTTACAAAATTCTCTCCAAGGAGTTGACAAGGTGGGGAAGGTAAAACTTCAAACTCTAAGGGCTGATTTTGAAGTTTTAAAAATGAAAGAATCCGAATGCATTTCGAATTATTGTTCAAAAGTGAAGGCTATTGTGAATCAATTAAGAAGATACGGGGAGGACATAGAAGATGTCTGTGTGGTAGAAAAGATCTTTCGCACTTTAACACCTAAATTTGATTTTGTGGTGTGTGGTATTGAGGAGTCTAAAGATTTAGACTCTATGATGGTGGAGCAATTGGAGGGTTCTTTACAAGCCCACGAAGAAAAGATCAAAAAGAGACAAGAAATGTCACTGGAGCAACTTCTTAAAACTCAGGCATCCTTCAAGGATTATGGAGGTGAAAAGAGCTATCGAGGGAATGGACGGGGACGAGGCTGTGGCGGTCATGGACGAGGAAGAAGTAACGGTAACAACTTCAATAGTGAAGCTAAAATCCACGAAACATTCAGAGGTCGTGGTCGTGGACATAGAGCAGGAAGAGGACGTGGCTACTACCAAGAAAATAATGGACAAAGGTATGACAAATCAAAAATTGAGTGTTATAATTGTCATAAATTTGGCCACTACTCTTGGGAATGTCGTAGCAATGTTGAAGAGAAAGCTAACCTTGTTGACGACAAGAAAGAAGAAGATGAGTCAACGTTATTGCTGGCACTCAAGGAAGAAGACAGGGATGATTGCAGCTCGTGGTATTTGGACAATGGAGCAAGCAATCATATGTGTGGATGCAAAGAAAAGTTTGTAGAGATCAATAAAACGGTGAGAGGTATTGTGTCCTTTGGAGATACCTCAAAGATTCAAATCGAAGGGATAAGTACGATTCTGATCTCCTGTAAAGATGGTAGTCACAAGCTAATTCAAGATGTTTATTATGTGCCAAAATTAAAAAGTAATATTTTGAGTTTGGGCCAACTTCTTGAAAAGGAATATGACATCCACATGAAAAATATGCATCTTTGGCTTAGTGATTCAAGTGGAATTCTAATTGCTAAAGTGCATATGGCAAAGAATAGATTATTTTTTTTGAATCTTAAAAAAATTGATGCAAAGTGTTTGAAGCTACGCACGGACTCTCGTCACCTCGTACGTACGTAGCCCCCACAAATAGGAGCACATAATCAATTATTTCACCTATGGGGACAATTCCCTCTTACAAGGTTAAAAAGGAGACTCACCTCGCTCCAATGTGCACTTCCAATACCAAGAATGAGCCCGAACCTTCAAATTGGAGCCGAACGATTCAAAACTAGATAAACGAGGTAGGAACTAGTCAATATAAGCTCACAAAATCATATTCTAACTACTTAAGCAACTTCCCACCCTTAAACACAATTTTCCTAAGATCCGACCCCGGGCCCACGTGCCCGGATTCCTAAATTTTTCAAAGGAAGTTGTTCTTCTTAACCCAAGGATCAATAATATATGATTTCTAATTCATTTCATAACAAATTTCGTGGTAATTCAACTTTTGTCAAAACCCTAGGTTTTTGCTCTAACGTCATGATTTCACCGTAATACTAGTGTTTAATCTACCTAAAACATAGGTATTAAACTAGAAATAGGTAGAACAAACTTACCTCAAGATGCTAGGTGAAGGTCTCTTCCCAAAAGCTCTGAAATCGCCCAATGGAGGAATGAAAAATGGCAAAAATGGACTTAGAACCCGTAATAAATGAACTCACTGCCTCAGCGATTTCCACATCTGCGGTAAGGGTCCCGCATCTGCGAGGAAGTGGCCGCATCTGCGGTCGTTGGCCAAAAGGACTGGGGCCGCTTCTGCGGATCCGCTTCTGCGGCTAGAGAGCCGCTTCTGCGGTTTGGCCTGACCTTCCCTGGGCCGCTTCTGCGATGGAAGGACCGCATCTGCGGTCTCGCACCTGCGTTCCACCAACCGCAGGTGCGGTTATGATAGAAGCAGCAGCTTCAGCTCTTCTAAAATTTTCATTTTCGATCCGTTAACCACCCGGAATCCACCCGAGGCCCCCGGGACCCCAACCAATCATACCAACCAATCCCAAAACACATTACGGACTTGCTCGAGGCCTCAAATCATTTCAAACAACGCCAAAACCAAAAATCGACCTCCAATCCAAGCTTTATGAACTTTAGAATTTCAAACTTCTACTTTCAATGTTTAAACCTATCAAATCACGTCCGATTGACTTCAAATTTTGCACGCAAGTCATATTCGACATTACAGACCTACTCCAACTTTCGGAATCAGATTCCGACCCTGATATCAAAAAGTCCACTTCCGGTCAAACTTCTCAAAACCTTCAAATTTCTATATTTAGCCAAATGACTCCAAAATGACCCACGGACCTTCGAATTCACTTCCGACCACGCTCCCAACACCAAAATTACCATACGGAGCTACTCCCAAACTCGGATTCCCAAACGGACATCAATAACACCAAAATACACTTCAACCCAACCTTATGAAATTTCCTCCAAAATGCTAAGTTCCACAATAGGCGCCAAAATGCTCCCGGGTTATCCAAAACCCGATCCGGGCATACGCCCAAGTCCGAAATCATCATACGAACCTGCTGGAACCTTCAGATCCCGATTCCAATGTCGTTTACTCTAAAATCCAATCCTAGTCAATTCTCTCAACTTAAAGCTTCCGAAATGAGAATTTCCTTTCCCAGTCCACCCCGAACTTCCCGAAATTTAATTCCGACCACGCGTACAAGTCATAATGCCTGAATTGAAGTTGTTCATGGCCTCGAACTGTTGAACGCCGTGCTAGGGCTCAAAACGACCGGTCGGGTCGTTACATCCTCTCCCACTTAAACATACATTCGTCCTCGAACGTGCTAGGAACTGTGCTGGGGTTGTCTGGAATCACTACTTAATACCTCGTGCACCTACCCATGCTACCACAACCCAGTTGGGCACATCAGCTCGATCAAATCTAAAGATAACCTCTTTCATTTAGGCAAATAAGCCTTGGAGCCCAGTTTCAACATCCGAAATCCTCTGCAAGGCCTGCTTTCGACATATGAACGCCGTATCAATCACCACACGCCGCACCAAAACATGATTGTGTATCTTAGCTGAATTCACACCTTGCCCCACTTTACTCACAGGACCACAATAGCATTCTCTAATCGAATAACTCGAAGTTCCACGAATTTGATGCTCCCATTGCACCTCATGACCTACATAGGTCTTGATCTAACTCTTACAATACCGCCGCAATGGAAGAGATGCGTAGAAATTTGTAACCAATTGACGAACCAATAAATCGTTGGGTCTATACTCTTGTTAGGAACCATCGCCTCATCTTGAACCAAATAATGGCCTTAGCTCCTTAATGTACTTCATATAATCCGATCGCACTGATCCTAGATCTAGTAACCTTATCTTACTCTACGAACTGCTCAGGCAGCAAGTCACCCCTGACATGACCAAAAGTCTCATATGATGCTACAACGTGCCAATAGGCTACCACTCGAACGCGATACATAAGGAAAACGAACTTTGGAAGGGACTACTCAAATCACACAACTAATATGAACTTTTCTCAGAAAATGGAGAAACAAAACACATAGAATAGAATACAAGGGACTACAATTATCATCACACTGTTGCGGCGTGCAACCCGATCCACACATATAACTCACCTAAGGAGATACCCATCGAGCTGAATTACTCATCACAACAAGATACCGTATATCGGTCACAAGCACGCTAAGTGCATAATACCATCCCTGAGGGGACATATGGCGCCATAAGCCAACAAACTCAAGCACAACTGAGGTGCAATATACGATCTGAACCTCGAGAGCCCTCCTGCTCACATAACATCATCACTACGCGGAACCTCAACACATAAGAAATTACCAAGCCGTTTCGCAACTCACACGGCACAATATAGCATTGCATGAAATAGCCGACAACGAATATAACACCCTGACCGTCCTTCCATAAGGAGCGCATTACTGAAATGGACACATCTGGCCTGATATAGAGCCCATATTTACATTTAAATCCAGCCATAGACCTCAAGCTAATTCTAATCGCACCGAACTAGGCTAATAACCTTTCAAAGGTCCATAAATACTCCCCTTTCTCTCATAACACATAAGAACAACCATCATAACCGGAGTAATCATCCACAATCCACAACCCAATAAATCGAGTGCCCTCCCGGCATAAATTCTCAAATTAACGGTACCACCACAATCTCCATACTTGGTTTCATCCTCCAATCAATCAGTGACTACATGCCACACTTGTACAATCTTCCCGTGGAACACGCCCCATGACCTTTCGTAATAGATAACAAGTCTGTACATCCGAACCACCGGCCGCACTAACACTGAAAAGCGATCAAGAATTTCTTAACCAGGATGCAAAGCCTCTTTTACAAACGCCGATCTCAGGTGACGCTGAAGACAATACCAACTTACTTTAAAGATCGAAACTACTTCCTGCTCATCCGAGCTCGTGACATTCCCGTCAACAC